TCGATCTCACCAGATGAGGACGGATGAATCTCGTTGTACTGCAGCCGTTTGGATTTTATACGATATTCATTTTGACGCAGTCCACAAGACTTCCTCCCTAGTTTCGAGTGAAAACGTGCTGAGCTTTCGTCTATCATAGGATGGGCATCATCAGAGTTGAGTGTCATTCCTGTAAAAGGCTTTCATTAACACTAGGCCAAGAAGACTATTCGGTTTTATCTTACCTCTTTTATAGACTCAGTTAAGCCAAAAGAAAATTAAAAATTAAAAACCTAGATTGATATAGAGTGGTTTGGCTAATTATCTTTCATACTTGTCCCGCTACTTTTGCTCGAGTGTGTGCCTGTGTGTATGTGTGTGTGTGTTAACTTCTATACGCAATACCGGTCCTAAATCAGAGTTATCAAAAGGTTAAAGTTAGGCTCTGATCATCAAGGCCTCATGACCTCAAAGAAAGCCCTGACCGAGACTGCGTAAGTCCGTATGCAAGTATGATTGAGATAATGAGATATGAGCTTGTAAGCAAGCAAATCAAGTTACTAAACCACTTGTCCTAACCTCTCAGTCTAGGGTCATTAACGTTTAACTCTCCAAGGAAAGGCATGACTGGGGCTGCGTAATTTGGTACGTATGGTTTGGTTGATGAGCCTAATCTAACAACCCGCAAACGTTGTGGTTCAACATTAAACCTAATTAAAGCCAGCAGTACCACAACATTTGTGGGTTGGCACACAAACGACTAGGGCTTGGCAAGTCATAGTGAAATACATGTACCCGGGAGATAGCATATGGATTTGACGGGGTAAGAGGAAGACTTTGATAGGACCCATGTAAGGACTACGTAACAATATGACAGACTTTGGTCAACATTCCCAGCACAAGCGTGAAAGGGGTGAGAACGACAGCACGGAGTGTGAAGGGTTTTCATGAATGCCGCTCGAAGGAGCACACCACACTACACTAAAAATAAGCACGGGAAGGCATGATAGGAGGATATAGGAAATGTGAATAGGCCAGGGCAGAAGGGGAGATACTACAAATGTTTAGCACACGTTTGGTCAAAAGATGGGCTTCACTTGTCTCCTTGACGAGTTGTAATATGGTGCTACGAATAGCGAGACTCGCTGATGATGCCGACTACGATTCCGGCGAAACGTCTGGGAATGTACCACATCCACGGTCCTACTCTAGAAACGATTATGCATACAATGAACTCCGGACTAGTTGTGATCCTTTAAGTCTTCCTACTAATATGATGAATTTGCGAAAACAAGGTCAAACAACCTCTATACAACGAAAGGAGACTGCGACCACACAAAAGGTCACACCAACTTGGTTTTCATGCCTTCGATTAATCTAACATTTGGACTTCTTGTCATTTGTCTTCGCGTTCCACTCAAACCAAGGAGTCAAGAAAACTCACCGGCAAATCTTTAAAAAGCGGTATATATACTCTATTGTTGAGCTTACTTCCATTTCGAGTGAATGTGTTGGGTGAAGAGATTCGAAGGTCGGTTCCACCATAATCCTAACCCTAACCATTAGCAAATCGACAGCTGGTCAAGAGGAATCCATCGTAGTCTTCTGGTGGAACCAACCTTCGAATCTCTTCACTCAACTTTTTTACTCGAAATGTAAGTAAGCTCAACAATAATGAAACAAGAGATTCCTCGAAACCCAACTTTTCTTCGTATATACTCTATATCTGGCCTCTTTGATCAGGTATTAAGTGACTTGGTTATTTACGGTCATATGCCAACCTCGAAGCCTGTGAGTGGTTTTGTCTCTGTATGCGTCTGTGCCTTGACTCGTTAGCTTGAATTTGTTTGTGACGATGATACCTTGCTGTTAAAGAGAAATCCACCGTCGCCTTCGGGTGAAATCGACCTTCCAATCTCTTCACCAAACACTTTCACTCGAAATGGAAGTTAGCTCAATTCTCATTCATGCACCTTCACGCACAATGAAAGTCCCTCTAACAACTGCACATGGAATCCGAAAGGAAAGTGATTTTGCTGATCAGGCTCTTGCATGCATGCAGGAGACTGTCAGTCTGGTCTTGTTGGTATGCTCACGCCTTTACGTACTACCGATCAACTGTGTGCATGATGGCTAGATTGGAACTGGTACTTATCTAACAAATTTCAGCAACCGTTCAACCCGGCCAATTTCTTGATCAACTCTATTTTATCTACACTTTTATTTCGCGACGTGTGCTTTGCCCCAATTCGTTACAAAAAGTTCACCTAAAATTGCCTTTAGGCACTTCACTGCATCGGACTTGTCTCAATGTTCCACACTCGGCGTAAATCTAGGCATGCATACATACAATGGCGTTTGCTATTAACTTTCTGGTCCGTCCATCTCTTTAGTAATATCCGACTATAACAATGTTCACCAATTCAAGATTACCATTATTTCGCTCTCTCCGTTTCCGTCAAGTTGCTGCGGCGGCCGGAAGCCGGCACATGTTGACCCTGTGTCAGTACGTCGGCATCAGACCAGGACAATTCTGACTTATACCCCCGGGGCATAGGTCATCACACTTCTCCCCCCCTCCCAACAGAGCAGGACAAGCTGGCAAACAAACCTCTCTGTTGGAGAGAGATCAGTTTGTTATTGCTGTCGGGATTGCATGAGCCTGGGATGCGGCTCTGGGCTCAGACGTGTTATTCTGCTACATTCTCAATGGGATTAAAGCGGAAACAAGTAGAGAATAATAGCCTCAGCCACTGCCATGATCGTGCCTGTCGGCTCGTTTTGCCGGCAATGCAAACTTGGTATCTTCGGGTCACTGGAGCGCCTGGTGGATCTAAATTGTAGAAATCTCGAGCATGTGTCGACGCCTGTGCCGGCCTGTCTTATGCCATTAACCGGTCGTCTGCAAGTTAGGAGAAATGGGTAAAGCGAAACGACTCAGCAAATGAATAGATGTCCACACAAACCCAGTGACCATTAGTTTTGGACAGGCTTTTGTGGGCATTCGCATGTTTTGGCGTCTAAGTGTGAAATGCCACCTTCTTCTGGGCTAATTTGGTTGCCAGAACAATCCGATTTTCTCCTGTGCTGAGGGTACACTTCACCAAAACCAATTTTCTTGGCAAGATAGTACGTCTTACCGCCAGCGGAGTGTTGAAAATTGTGAACAGTTGTCTCAACATGTACGGCCAGACAGGCGAATTGTTTTCGTTTCGCGATCGGCATGTGAACAACCCGTCCCCTGCCCAGTCAAGACAGTCCGACTGGTGATGGCACTTTTTTGCTTAAACCTGCATAGGTCTACTGTGGGGGTTTGGTGTAAGTGTGGAGCTTGGCCGGGAAGAAGAAAAAGGCAGGGCTGATCGAAACGGAGGACTGAGAAAGGTAAACAGTTCGCCACATATTCTCCTATTTCTTCACCTTTCGCCCCTAAGCGCAGTCTCTCATGGGGTGATAATTGTTTTGTTCCCCGCTGCGTAACTCGTTCTCGGGGCACATGGGACGGTTTGAGTGTACTCGATGGGAATATCCACTTAACCTTAAGGTCAACTAATTTTTGGCCTGAAGGCCAAGGCTGAAAGAGGGCAAATGAGTAATTCTGAGCAAGCAGAGTCTTGTCAACTAATGCAAATTGCGGCCTTTTTGAATTGGCGCTCAGATAAGGGACTGCGAGCAGGCAGTCATGTGTACTAGTGCTCTATTGGCGTAGATGTAGATGGGCAAAAATGTCCTTCAGCCTATCAAATAAGGTCTAAGATGCAGGTCTGCTATCTCAATTAAGCTATCTCGCCATAGTATACCCTTTCCTAATTTACATTAAAGCTAGTGTATCGAGCATCCGTACAGACTGCTTGAAGATTTGATGAGCGTCTTCAGGAATAAAAGGTTTTTGGAGTTTTCTGAAGTAGTGGAAACTTCTCTATTGGAGCTGTAAGTTGGCCCATATGTTAATAAATTTAACGGGCCCTGTTGGATGGTATGCTATGTCCATTAACATTAATAGACGTCCTTTAGAGTCAAAAGCGGCATTTGAAATTTCAACAATTAAGACATTAGAGGAACTTTTTCATTTGTATCCAATACGTAATTTTGCTAAGGGTGATTCACAGTTTTCTCTCGTAATCGATGGCATTAACCTGAAGATTTTCTACGCTGGATTTCACACAACCAAACTTTTGCATAAATTTGTGGTATATCGGTTAGATAGACCTCAAACCATTCCAGCATTAACTCGTACCAACTTACATAGTTCACGATACAGCGATGAGAGCTAACGGGTCCGTTAAATTTCATATTACCACCTAGAGTGGACTTCGGTAAGGACCTCTCCACATACTAATCCTTATCCCCTTACGGGATTGGAAATCGATTGATGCACGTCAAAATGGCAATTCCACCACATAACCATAGGGACCAACAGACTTCGAGCCAGACGTGTCATTCAGGACGGGCCTCTTCTCTGCTAAGTCTCATTTTTAGTATAATTTGTGTCGATAAAGCAAACAAATTTTTAACTTTCTATTTTGTGATGTTAGTCCTACTATACATATAAGTTGGGCAAAGCTGTGCTTACCTTGAAAGTCACATCTAGCATATGAATCACTGTTACAATTTGCCACGAGGACACATGGTTCAAAGCCCTTTGGAGGCAATAATGAAACCAAGGCGACATTTAAACTGCTAATCATCCTGGAAAACAAAGCCTTTTGATTGCACGAATTTCACTTGTATGTTTAGATCTCCCTCTATATTACTTTAATCAACTTCATATTTCAGTAGAAATCATGAAGACCAAAATAGTATGGTCTCCCTTCGTTGTATATAAGTCGTTTGACTCATTTTTCTAACTTGCTTGTATTCACAGAGAGACTTAGAAGAATGTATCTTGTGCAGGGTTTCTAGTATCCATGACAATTTTCAGAGGCAGATCTTGAACTTAGTACATTCCCATACATCTTCAGTGACCCTTACCATTCTTAGCGCCACGAATTGCCTTATTTGTTTGGCTATAATCGGTGTACTGTTTGCCAATCTTACTTTCGTAGCTTAATCAAAGGTATGAAGACCAAGATGGTGTGGCCTTAAATATGGTCGCGGTCTCCCTTCGTTATTTAGAAAATGTTTGACCTTTTTGCGTAAACAAAGTCAAACGACTGCATTTTTTTAAAGTTTAAATTATGGCATAAGTTTTATTGTAGACCCTCCATTATAGTTTAGTTTAATTATTAGTAGCCTTGTTAGTGCTTTTGCTCGCACTTTCCCATAAATCTTTAAAATTGTCTTTGGTTCAAATATCTCTGAGACCAACGCAATCTAGAGTTTTAGCCCTTTAATCATCAACAAATCATTCACCTCTAGTTGCCTTAGCTTTCTGTCAGTTCGGGTGGAGAGGCTTAATTATTTGATCTAATT